AAGAATTACTCCAACACCGTGTTCACTTCCCGGACTCCGCCGAGAAGAGACCATCACGGTAACACATGCGGTTGGTGCATTTTAATTAAGTTAAGGTTTAGGTTTTCTACAACCGGACATTAACAAATTCCCATCTGCCCATAACCGCGGGCACGGCTTTCAAAAGTTCAAATCCCTGAAGGGGTGTCCCAACTTAGCCCATCACAAGCTCTCACGGTCAATGAAGGATATTCCTTCTCCCAAGACAATCCGATCAGACTCGACATCCCGGCTACAAGACATCCCCGACAATGGTAAAACAAGTCCAGCAAGACCACCCGCTATGCCGACAAATCCCGATAGGAGCTGCACATATCTCGTTCTCAGGGCACACCGGATAAGCTAAGCGTACGGGAGCCAACGTAACCCAAGTTGCCAAGGGACGGCCCCGCACGGTGCTCTGGGTTGGACCAACACTTAGACAAGCACTGGCCCGAGGGTTTAAAATAAAGATGACCCGCGGGATGCGCGACTCCCAAGGGAAAATGGCTAGGTGGCGAATGGTAAAACCAAAGTTGGGCCTTGCTGAAGGAGTTTTATTCAAAGCGAACTGTCAAGGGGTTCCCATTATAACCCAACCGTGTAAGGAACGCAAAATCCGGGAACATAACACCGATATGACGGCAACTAGGGTGGCAAGAGTGGAACAAAACACCAGGCATAAGGCCGAGCCTTCCACCCTTTACCAAGTACATAGATGCATTAATTAAATAAGAGATATTGTGATATCCCAACAATAATCATGTTCCAACATGGAACAAACTCCATCTTCACCTGCAACTAACAATGCTATAAGAGGGGCTGAGCAAAGCGGTAACATAGCCAAACGATGGTTTGCTAGGACAAGGTAGGTTAGAGGCTTGACATGGTAATATGGGAGGCATGATAAGCAAGTGGTAGGTATCGTAGCATAGGCATAGAAAAAGAGCGAGCAACTAGCAAGCAAAGATATAAGTGATTTCAAGGGTATGGTCACCTTGCCTGAGATCCTGCAAGGAAGAAGAACGGGTCCATGAAGAAGACAAACGGACGTAGTCGAACGGATCCTCACAAACGCGACGTATTGGAACCAACCCGAAGAAGCACACCAGAAAGAAGCAAACAACATAGTAAACAACCACCACATAAGCATGGCATGATGCGCAAACAAGTATGATCCATGTTCGGTTTAAAGAGGGCATGGCATGGCAAAGTGCACAAGCAAAACTACAAGTTAAGTGGAGCTCAATATGCAATGAGTTGCATATTGACGAAACACCACGGGACTTATTTAGTTCTCTCTCGTTTAGGTACCCATCAATGTTAAATGTTGTTAATCATGGCAAGAGGCTGAAGCAAATAAAAACTACCTATCTAGGCAAGTTTAAATGAGGCCGGAACAACAAAACAACAAGTCCGGAAACTCCTCATGTGCATATATTAGGTTTGGTACTGTTCTTCCCTAAACACAATTTTAGAGTTGTTAAACATGCAAAGTAAGGCCACCATGTTAAATTAGGCAAAATTCTACCCCATTTACATATAAAGTTTGTTAGGTTTGGAGCTATGATTATTTTGTTATGAAATAAATCATTTTAGCATGGCATAGGAGAAAATTAATGCAAACAGCAGTTTAAGCATTTTTAACATGGATGAAAGTTGCATATTATTAAACTAGATGAAATTCTAAGCAAGTTTCATATATAATTTATTTAGATCCGATGCACGGTTAATTAGTTATTATATGCATGTTGTCTAGGGACTTTTCTGCAAATCTGCAGTCTCAGGATAAATACACAAATTCACAGACGCTGGAAAAACATGATATGGGCCGAAACACGAACTGGGCCAACAGCAGGAAAGGAAGGTGGGGCGCTGGGGTGTGGCTGCTCACCCTGGGGCGAGGCCCGGAACTGTGGAGAGGCTTGCGCAGATGGGCCAAGGGGAGGCTGGGCCTTGCCAGCAGCAGGCCGGCTGTAGCACTGCGCGTGCGATCGATCTAGTCAACGCGCGGCCGCTGCGCTGGAGTGGCTCGAGGCAGGGGAAGCAGAGGCCGGCGATGGCGAACTGGGCATGGGGGAAGGAGGTCCTGCGGTGGCCCGAGGGTGCAGGGCGTCTGGAAGGCCGGATCTGGTCGCGGGAGGTCGCCGGGGTCCCGTTCCCTGCCGGATCAGAGTGGAGGCAAGCCGGCGGCTTGGAGCTCCATGCGGTGGCGGCTTCCATGGCTGGACTCAAAGCTGCAAGCGACGCTGAGGAGGCCAGGAAGACGGGGACGAGCGCGGGCGTAGAATCTCATGTGCATGCTCGCGCACGAGCGCGAGGCTCTTGGTTCCTGGAGGCAGCGCAAGGACGCGGCGGCGACTGAGCGACGAACCAGAGGAGGTGCTTGGGTGACTCGGCGGCTTGGCGTCCATGGAGGCTTCCTGTTCGTCCTGAAGAGAAAGGGATCGCGATGTGAGAGACCACAGGGAGAAAGGGATTACAGGAAAAAAGGAGAAGTAAAAGGGGCACGGCGGGAGGGCCCTGGTCACCGGCGGTTCGAGAAGCTCGAGATCGAGCCTCCTGCTCGATCTGGAGGTGGGCACTCGGCTGGCTGCGTGCCCGAGCGCGAGGGGAGCAGGGGAGCTGCGGATGCAGCGAGGACCGAACAGGGGAGGCAGGGATCGATGGATTGGATGGAGCAGGTGGATGGCTGCAGCGATCTGGTTGGGTGGATGTGGATCGGGAGGGATCCCGAGGTTGGGGGGAGGCTGTCGGCTGGCTCGATTGGTCCGGCGCTAAAAATAAAGAGAGTGGCGGCGGGGGGGATTGGACAGGGGAGGATCCCTAGAAATTAGGGTTGGCTAGTTTAGGTAGGGTTTCATCTGCTATAAATAGCAGGTAGGAATTGCGTAGGGGCTATCACGTCCCTACGATCGCAATCGGACGGTCGCGAATAAAATAGTTAGGGAGTCCAAATAGGAAAACGGTGATGTTTTGTAGACGTTTGGGGATGATCCGGGCACAACGGTGACGACTGCTCGGGTCGGGTCCGGGACAACTTTTCGGACGCGCGCGCGAGGAGGGCCGCGGGCTGACGAGAGGGGTTAGGTTGGGCCTGGCGGTAGGTAGTGGACTGTGGAGAGAGGGTTGGTCTGAGAGAAGAGGGGAGAGATGCAGCCCGGCATGGTTTCCGGAGATCGAAAACGTCCGACGAAAAGACCGGCTATATTGCCGCTATAGTTATACGTTAGGGCATCAAATGGACTCCGAACGCGATGAAATTTGACAGGCGGTCTACCTACACTAAAAAAAGACCGCACGCCAACTTTCAACCCATTCCAAGAACATTTTCCGACCACTTATAAAATACTATTTCAGACATGCCGCGGGCGCGTGCAAGTGTGTCTGGACTTAGAACGGACAACGGACGAAACTGGGGGAACTCGGACGAATGCAAGTTTCGAAAACATGCAAATGCAATGCGGATGATGACATGGCAAGATGCAACACGCAAGCGAATGACAAGGCAACAACAGCGAATAACCGGAGGACACCTAGCGCATCAGTCTCGGGGCGTCACAATTAGGCACCGCAGCCGTCGTGTGCCCTTGCCGTCTTTGTCGCCCATCTGCTTCTGATCTCCCTGCTTTGCCGCTCACGATCGGATTTCTACGACGACTCAGCGATGCAACCTACTTCATTGCTTCCCCCAAGATCATGTTAACACACTACACTATACTAATCTCTCTCAGTTCTCATCTCGTAGTAGTGTTGAAATTATACATTAGACTTTAGTTGTTTTGTTTTCCGATTTGATATGCTATGGAGAAATCATCCCTTGATGTGTCCTAGAAATTACCGTGATGCAAATTATCTTGTATGAGTTCCTATTGTGATTCAAAAAAAAATCTATGAGGACCTTACACAGAACACAAACAATATAGCTAATTCTGAAATTGAAATTCAACTATGGGGAGGCAAAATGCTGTCAAACACTATTACAATTAATTTGTTTCTAAGTCGGCTACTTATAAAATTGAAATTCCTCAACCATAAGGACGAAAAATGCTACCAAACATCATTAAGATTAATTTATCTTCTAAGCCAGTTGCTTCAAATTCTTGTACTGAAATTGTTATTAAGGCTTATGTGCAAGGTCTCAACCTTGTTCTCTAGAATTATCTTTTGCACTGGATTTTTTTTATCTACTTAGCTTGGCCCCCCTATACCCAAATCCTGGCTCCGCCCGTGCCCAAACTCGTCTGTCAAGTCACACCACCACGCATCAGCACACCATCCCCAGCTCCACATTGACTTGCCCTCGGCTCCTCCACGGCGCTCCTTCGCCCCTCCTTGTCATCGCATCCTCCACAAACTCTAGAAGCTCTACATCGTCACCGCTCACGTCCTCCACAAACTCTAGAAGCCCTACATCGTCACCGTGTCATCCCATAAGATGTCTCCGCTCCAGTGTCGACACCTCTTGCCTCAGAGCGCCTCCACCCTAGTCTAGAAATGGCTCTCCCACCTCATCGATTTTGTGAATGACGGTGGAATGATGACGCGGATGGAGAGAGATAGAAACAACCACGCACTCATTGTTGGATCTCACGTGTTGGTGTAATTTAGGGGATGCCACTTGAATTGGAAGCCAAATTTGAGAGCTGAAGACGAAGTATGGTCGACCATTCATTTCCGGCTACCGATGGAAATGACTCTAGGCCTAGAATTTTCGGCGGTTGTTTTGGCGCCCGAATCCCACATCTTCTTCTCAGAAACCCGCGCGACGGCCTCCCCATTCCTTGCCCGTCCGATCTCCTCCCCTCGCGGCGTCATCCTCTCATCAGCACCGTCCATTCGCCCGCTTGCCCCCCTGTCAAGTCCCCACCAATCGCCGCTTCTCTCCCCACCCCATCCCGTCTTCCTCGTCTCCGCCGGCCGCCGTCGCCTCTTCTCCCCCCCACTCCGGCAGGAAACAAGAAGGGGGAGAGCGCGAGGAGATGCAGCCCAAGATCAACACGTTCTTCAAGCGCCAGGCCACGGGGCCGGATCAGAACAGGTTCTTCTTCTCTTTCCCCGCTTGAAGCCGATCACTGCTCGTACCAAATCTCGCCGGTTCCGAGCCTAGCCTCACAATTGATGCATCTTGGAAGTATTCTGCACCGAATTGGTGCCTTCCAGATTCACCCTTGGACTGATCCGTGTCGATTGTTTTGGGCAGCGAAGCGGCGGAGGCGAAGAGGCCCAAGAGCTGCGGCGACGGCAAGGTCCTCAACAAGAAGAGGAACTACGGGCAGTTCCACCTGGAGCTGGGGCAGCCTGATTTCCTCCTCCATATGTGCGCGGTCTGCGGCATGATGTACGCCCGCGGCAACGACGAGGACGAGAAGGTCCACAGGGCATACCACAAGGGCTACTCCGAGGGCGTCCCGTTCAAGGTTCATTAGGCCCCGCTTGTTCTTTTGTGAATTGCAGTGCCATTACCCTTGTTTCTTGTGTTTCTATGGGTGAAGAGTTTCTGACCGACGAAATGTAGGGTTGGCGCAAGGAAACCGTGGTTATGAGGTCCGAGGGCGGTGACCGGATAATTCTAGCAAGCGGTGAAAATTCCTGTATACGGAACAGCAAGGTAATTGGCCAAACTCGCTTTGTTATGTTCTGATGCATGCCTTTCTGAAGAAATTCAGACTGTAAGTTTGCTGATAGCTGTAATCTGTGTGCATGCGTCCGTGCTTACTGCTGAAAGCCTGAACCACTTCACAACCAGTCCACATTTTGACATTAGAAACCCAGATGCAAATTGCACAGATGTTGAGATTTAGGATGCAAACCATTTAACATCATGTACACATTTCAGGTTCAGGAGGTGATCAAAGTGGTGGAGAAGGAGCTGGGGTTTGGTGAAGGCCAGCTCCTTCATAAGCTCTGCAAGGTAGTAAGTCACAGTCGTAATTCCCGTGTATATAAGATATAACAGCATAAATGCAATATGCTGTGTTACTGAAGAAAGAACATCTCTGTTGCATAGGTGTATCTGTTTGTATCTGGTGGGAGGATAGCGGGATGTCTAGTTGCCGAACAGATAAAAGCAGCACACAAAGTTATTCCAAGCTCTGCATCGGAAAACCGAAGCAATTTGCCGGACAGTAAAACTGAATCAGCACAGGCAAACCATACATTGGAGTTTGGGAAAATAAGCTTCAAGAGGGAAGTCTTGCGGCGGCATAATCACCCCGACAAGAGCAAAGAAGAGTGCCAGGGCCCTGGCGCCATAGTCTGCGAAGAAGAAGCTGTGCCCGCGCTATGCGGATTCCGGGCAATCTGGGTGGTGCCATCACACAGAAGAAAGGGAATAGCATCGCAGCTAGTGGATGCAGCACGGTATTTTCTCTAGGCCCTTTCCGTGCAGCTTCCTCATGCCTTGAAAACTCATCACTGTCAAACATGCACCATTCTCCTTAACAAGGGGACATGATAGCATGATGTGTCAAATTTTCACCAGATTGCATTCATTCTTGCTAGACTAGCTGTGACTGATATCACCCTGCAAAGATAGATCGCTGGTTTATCGAGCTTGCCTCCCCTTTCCTGACGACGTTGCTTCCGTTGATCTCCTGCAGGAAAAGCTTCTGTGAAGGCGGCATGTTGGGGATCGCACAGTGTGCTTTCACGCCACCAACCTCTGAAGGGAAGGAGCTAGCGTCGAGATACTGCAAGACCAGTGCGTTCTTAGTGTACAGAGATGGAGATGTATAGAGAGGTGCTCCCAAAATTAGAAACCAAGTGTTGAACAGTTGCAAAAGTCAGTCATGCTGAATACTTGACACATAAACAGGGCACATTCTGCTCTTAGCCTCTTACAGTGCCGAGGTCGTCATGTTTTTCTTCCTTTAGCAAAGATAGGCGAATGCTGTTAAAGGCTACTGTATTTTATTATCAAGTTTGTCAATATAGCTGACTCTTAGTTGGTCCATGTTTTTTTATGTTTCTCTCCTCCAGCGCCTCTTTGACGAGGTGCACACCGGTACTGCTCAGCTCGACGGCGTGTATAGGGCCTATGTGGTCCTCCCCAAGGGCGACGACATCCCCTCGCCGGGAGTGTTCGGGCCGGTTTCATTTAAGAATGGCGAGGTGAAGATCCAATTTATAGGTACAAAAGGGGAAGTGGAAATGGACCCCTCAAGGTTAAATTTCAGAAAAGGAATATTTCAGGAAAAGATCAATATTGGATCCATGGGAAACGTGTTGTCGTTTCAAGCAATGACCCTAAACCATACAAAGATGACAAGGGTGAATGCAATCCTAGAAAGAGCAAACGGATGGGCAGTCCAGATCCATAAATTTACAACCGCAAATATTAATGAGGATACACTTGTTAGTTTGTACTCCCTCCGTTCCCGAATATAAGTCTTTCTAGAGATTTCAACAAGTGACTACATATGGAGCAAAGTGAATGAATCTACACTTTAAAACATGTCTACATACATCCGTATGTTGTAGTCCAGTGGAGATGTCTAAAAAAACTTAGGCCTCTTTTGGTTCATAGGATAGGATTATCATAGGAATAGGAATCTTGTAGGAAATGAGATGACATGTATCTCAAATCCTATGAGTAGGAATAGGAAACAAGATGTCATTTGGTTGACACCAAAGGAATTTTTCCATTGAGTCTAGGCTCTTTTTTATTTTCCTATGAAATGTGGAGGATAGGAACCAATCCTATGTAGGAATAGGAATCCATTCCTATGAACCAAAGGGCTCTAAAGGAAAAAATCCTATAAGAATCCTATCCTCTAGAATTCCTATGAAATTCCTCTAAACCAAAGGAGGCCTTATATTTAGGAACGGAGGGAGTAGGATACTTTGGTCAATATGTGGGCTTATTCGGTTTGGAGGATTTCATAACGTAGGAATTAGGACTAGTATAGGAATTTTATAGGATGACACTTCCATCCTAAAGAATTGACTCGCCTCGTTCCTACGCGTAAAATGAGCTTTGAGTGGATGTGCAATTTCCTCCAAAAACACAGGAAATGAACAGTATTCCTATGAAATTCCTATACACATTTCTTACAAACCGAACACATCTACAGAAAATTTTCCTCCGGGATCCTTGTTCCTATATGTTTTCTATGAAAATCCTCTAAACCGAATAGGCCAGAATTGGTACATGAACCAGTTCTGCTAATATCGTGTGACCTCATGAATTCAGATTATCCAATCGGCCGTTATCAGCTGCCTTGATTTACCAAGTTGAGGCAGGATTTTGCTGCAACATGATTATCACGGGATGAATATAAGCTACGAGATTAGACCAGATGGAAAGCTTCATCACATACATAGAGATGAATGACACGACTTCGCGGAGAAAATACAACACTGATATTGGTACCATTGTGTTCTAATTGTCGGTTATGATGAAAACGAGGGATGCATGTCAATTTGGTTACATGAGGGTCAGTCATGTTTAGACGATTGTAGAGAAAAATAGCAGTAGGCAAACACAACCAGAGTCGCTTGAATTCTCATATATTTCATAAAGAAAAAAGAACCGCACAAATATAACATATTTCATAAAGAAAAAAGAACCGCACAAATATAACATTTAATCGCCAGTGATTGCGTTATCCAAGGGTTGGCTGATCTAAAATGCTTGTGTAACACGAACTTGAACAAAAGCTCAATAGATACATCATATTCTAATGTTTCCTGCTGATGGGCCGTGGATGGCAGCAGCTGCGTACTCATCAACTTCTGCTTTCGTCAGCGATGGCCTTAGCGACCTTATTGCAGCCTCAAAGTGAGCCTTGTGTATTGAACTGGCTGACAGGTCTTCCCTCAGTGCCGCCATTCCTGCTTCCCTGCACAGGCCTTCGAGATCAGCACCGGTGAACAGCTCGGTGCGCTCCGCTATCTCCCCAAGGTCCACATCCTCTCCCAACTTCATCTTCCGTGTATGGATGCGTAGTATCTCATGCCTGCCTTGCGCATCTGGCGGTGGAACGTACAACACCTGCAGTCCAAGAAAGTTATGGTGGCTGCAGATGTGCATGCTATAGAGGGACACAGAGACAGGGGGGTACCATATCAAAACGCCCAGGACGGAGAAGAGCCGCATCGATCGCCTTGGGACGATTAGTAGCAGCCAAAACAATAATCCCCTACAACATATATCAAGATAGCCTTTTATTACAAAGCGAAGTAGGGATTCAGTAGAATTAAGTTGAAAACTATCAGCAAGCTAAGATGTACCGTAGCCAGTTCTAAACCATCCATTTCAGTCAACAAAGTTGATAGGAGTCTTTCTCCTACTGTGGCATTGCCACTGTCCCCACTAGGACCAGTTCTGCAAGATCACACAAGTGCCAACCTAAGTTATTTCGTTGCAAAACTAGCATCTCGACGGACAGTCAGTACTCGGTTGCAGAAAAGAAAAGATTCACAAGTGCACAACTGAAGTTCACATAAATCTCGGTTCTGGTCCTGATAAACAAAATTCAGGAACAGTTTCTAAGAACATATGTTAACACTCTTAATTCCTATTTTTTTAAATCCACCTGTGAGATACACACGGAATACAACAAGTTTCTTCATTGATCTGCACCATATCAGATGCAAGTTTCTAGATCAGATAGTTGCAAAAGGATAGAAAAGTATATATCAGTTCTCATAAGAGTTCTATACAAGTTCTCTTTTACTAATTTTGCACATCACATAATGTAGATCTTAAGCGTTTATGTTTGATACTCCCTCCGTTCACTTTTATAAGTCGTTTCAGACAACTGAAATTGACCTGTTTTGCATGCCGTCTGAAATGTCTACAAGGCCTTGTAAAAGTGAACAGAGGGAGTATTTAAGACACAGGGATCTCATACCTTTTAGGGGCGATTGCATCAGCCTCATCAAAGAATATGATGCTTGGAGAAGACAGACGTGCCCTCTGAAATGTTCTTCGCAACAAAGCTTCACCTTCTCCAACATATTTCGAGTATAGTTCTGCACCACTGGTCAACAAAATATTTTAAAACCTAGATGACCTTCGATGAGGTGTACATCTTGAACAGAAGGTGGCTACGCGGAGCTTTTCTATTCATTAGTTTAAGCTTACGCACACTGCAGGATAGCAAACATATTACTCCCTCTGTAAACTAATATAAGAGCGTTTAGATCACTACTTTAGTATTCTAAACGCTCTTATATTAGTTTACGGAGGGAGTACAACTAAATCAGCAATACTCCTATTAATAAACCAGCTTGATGTCATATACTCATAAGAAGTGATTTTTTTTTCATGTTTTTGTGCCCAGAAAAACTTCATGTTTTTTCCGTCCTCTATATCTGGGATTAGTTGGACCCAGCTTGATTAGAAATGTATAGACTCGTGATTTGATTCAAACAATGTACACGGTAATCGATCGTTCTATGACAAACCTCAAAGAAAAGAAAGAAGCTTGGGCAGCATGTGCTGCAGCCTTGGCAAGGGTAGTCTTGGAGCACCCTGGAGGACCATGCAAAAGCACACCACGAACTGGTGATATCCCCAGTCTTGCAAAGGCAGTGGCATGCTTGATGGGCCACTCAACAGCTTGCTGAAGCTTTTTCTGCAGCATAGGGACAATCGTCATCACAACATGTTTGTATTATATGATAGGGATCCCTATATGATAAGAAAGCCTAAAGCAAAACATATCTCACCTTTAGATCTTTCAAACCTCCTATATCATCCCATGAAACAGTTGGAGCTTCTTTAGTTACCCCTCTTATCATGCTTGCTTTGATCTGAGATTTCGCAGACTCCCAATCTTCCATGAGTAGTGTGAGCACCTTCCCATTCTCGGATGAGTTTGACAATCTCCGATAAGCAAGTCTGGCAGCTTCTCGACACAGAGCTTCTAGATCAGCACCAACATAACCATTGCACCATCCAGCGATAATTTGAAGATCAACATTTTCATCAAGATGCAGATTTTTGGAATAAAGCTACAAAAATAAGGCCTATTAGACTTCAAGCAAATTCGTCATATCAGTTCATAGATTCAGACAATGCAGGTTTTGCAGCGTTATGTTACAAACATTTTAGGCTCGGTACAAAAAATATCAAGCAGTGGCAAGTGATCTCAGTTTTATGCAGGCATCCTAGGGCATGTATCCAAAAGCATAGCACTTTGCAGATTTAACCATACAACTGGAGTAATAAGCAGAATGCAATGTAGAAGTCATCACAGAGATAGATAAGAAGAAATCAATATTGACCCAAATAGTAAGTTTATGCTACCTTAAGAATCTGCAGCCTTTCTTCTACCGTAGGAACAGTGACCTCTATCTCTGAGTCAAAACGTCCTGGCCTTCTCAATGCTGGATCGATGGCATCCACCCTACACATGACGAGACAAGATATTGTTTCAGTAGAACTATTTTTCATGAGATGATATATAGACTACAACCAGTGTCCTATTGGAGAGGTTTTAAGCATGGCAGTTAAAGCAGCAATTACAATCCTCCAACTGGCATTTCTAACCTGTTAGTTGACGCGACAACAACTACGTGAGGAAGCTTCTTCGACGATTTCTTATTTCCATCCATCAGAGTTAGCAGCTGACCAACAATGCGGGATTCTTGCTCTCTCCTGTGAGAAGCACAATGAGAAAAACAGATTTGGGCAAGCACCAAAAATGATAACATGATAAACATACCTACTGTTACGGCGTGGACATATAGCATCCAGTTCATCGATGAAAATAATGGCCGGTCTGCCCTGTGACGCCTGAGAGTACGCTTCAGAGAAAGCTTCACGCAGGAACTTCTCACCCTCTCCAGCATGAGCTTTATGCACAGAATACGTACTGTAAAGACAGGCAGATTAGAGCACTTAATGATGATGCCCAAATACACACTGAGAAACAAATGGTACTCCTATTTGGCAGATTAAGGCTAAAATTGTAGGTATGGATGCCATCAAGCTGAGGTAGTACTTGATCATTGTCAGGTGGGCACTGCATTCTCGAACGATGGCTTGAACCAGGCTTGTCTGACAAGAAGAACAAGAATCAATCCTAAGAACCACACTGGTCACCATTTGTAGAACGATCTAAGACATGCCAATGCTAATGCAGTACCTTTCCTGTCCCAGGGGGGCCGTAGAGCAGCAATCCTCTGGGCCACTGTGGACGCAAGCACACACAACACAAGGAGCACAAATTGGTCAAAGAAGGCTCGTCAGACGATGAAATTGGTGGGGTTGAAGAGAAGGGGACAGGAGGTAGCACCTTAAGCCCGAGCAGGCGGGACTGGCGAGCGTAGAGGAAGGGATAAATCACGAGCTCCCGGAGAGCCTGGAGGGCCATACGGTTCCCGGCGACAGCCTCCTCCGCTCGCCAACGTGCAACCGGCTCGCCGTCCTCCCCATT